GTCGAGAATCTGACCTGATGCATGTTCATTGACTGCTGGGTGCCGGAAGAATTGTAGTCATTCTTTGTGGGGTTTAGGAAACCACCAAGGAAGGTAGTCACCACATAGTATTTTGCGTCCTTCAGGTAGGAGCCCCCCGCTGTTCTTCCATCGGAGAAATTCATTTTGGAAGGAGGGTCGGGACCAAATTAAGGATCGCTGAGAACCGATTCCGCCCCAGACCTTCCATTGATGAGTGCAGAGTCAATTTTTTTCAATTGCAGTCACCGGCCCCCTTAGGTGTCATTAAAAAAGTCCAAAGGCAACGGTGGGAATCGAACCTACACCGCGGGATCTACTAGCCGTGAGTCTGACGCCTTAACCACTCGGCGGTTCCCTTCCTCCACTATTAGTACACCATGGCCTTTCTCACGATCGTTGTGGAGCTGAAGAGCGCCGATGCTCTTGGCTGTGTGCAGGGTCTCTAGCAGTTATGAGTTAAGTTGGCTGTTAAATGAGCTGTACTACCTGTTGATACGATCCTGGAGATCAGAATCGAAGTAGTGTGACCTCTCATCCGATTGATACCCTGTTTAAATAGAGATGGAGTACGGTTCATTAAACCGATCGGCACTTAATCACTTCACTGGGTCCGTCTATTCCCGCTGGTTTACCAGTGTTTCGGTTTCACGCTACCATCCGTGAGGTTCAGCAAAGTGATCAGTGACATTCGTTCAACATGTGTTCATGTTCGTTCATAAAGTTAAAATAAATCAAATTTGTTAAAAAAATTTAAATGTGGTTACTTTTTGAATAGTTTGTCCTTTGTGTTTTCTTCAAATGTGCTTTATGTAACGGCATCAACGAGCAAATATACACTAAATTGTTTGTAATTTGTCAATGTTTGAACTTCTCGAAATCCCATTTGTTGAAGACTGCAGAGCGTGCTGTGGTCGCTCCTTTGTCTAAAAAGACCATGAGTTCAAACCGATCCCCAGTTGGGAACCTCCGCTCCTTCTGTCAGCTGGCTCGATTTTGAAACAAGGAAGGATTAATGAAACAACAAAATTAATTAATTTCTATTTAATTTAATTCCACCGTCGGCGATATGAAAAAGGTGAATTATTAATTTTTCTTCCTTGCTTTCCTTTGATTCTGTTTCGTTTTTCTGGCCCTCTTCAATTGAATTAGCCAGCGTTGTTTTGATTTTGATAAAAAGATAGTGTAAATATTTGTTTTCAAATGGCAAGGTTTCTTTAGAAATCTTTCTAGAAAAAAAGATTTATTCTGACTGTTACATAAAAATTCAGATTTATATTTATACAATATTCTTGTATCTATAAAAAAAAGAGTTGCTTTCCTAAAAAATTTCGAAAACAACGAATACAAAATATTTACAGAGATTCAAGCATGATAAGGCTATTCAAAGATGCCTGTTAAAAATATAAAAAAATTTAAAATAATATGTAAATTAAACTGAATAGAAAATTAAAAATCGTCTGTGTAACATTAATTAATCAAAGAGATGGGACAGTTTAGTAGTCGCACCATCTTAAAGCACAAATGTACTTGCATGTCTGTAATTATTACCTACCACTAAACAGATGTAGGTGTATTTTTTCGGTTTTGTCAAATGTCTTACTAAAGATTTCAGTTACCCCTTTGCTATTAAAATGTTATGTTACTGTCTGCAGTCATCTTGAGTATGCTAGTACTGTCTGGGATCCATTTCTTAAAAATGAGATTAATCTGGTTGAATTTATCCAGTGTACAGCTACTAGATGTCTTTTAAATTTTGGCAAGTACTCATCTAGCCATCTACTATGTTACTTGGTGCTGACAGCCCCCGGAGGGTGGCCCCTCCCGAGCCAGCTTGGCTGCCAAGGCCAGCGAGCATTTGTTGCTTCATTTGAAATCTGAAAATAGTCCGTATCTGTCCTCTTTCTAATTATATTTGTGTGAGCGAAATTTTGTATTTTAACTTTTGGCCTTGTACTATTGTACATCTAGCCATACATGTTGCTTGGTGCTGATGCCAGAGGGTGGTCCCTGCCGAGGCAGCTCGTCTCCCAATACTGGCCAACAGACACTAGAAGAGCCAAAAGTATTGGAACTATATACAATGAAATAACCCTGTTTCCTCTAAGGATCGGAACAGGGACTCCAATAGAATTCTCTTGAAACAATTGGCATCTTATATGAGGCCCCCATTTGCACACTTCTGGGTGTATTTTTTTCCTTTCCTGAAAAAATTAATTTACCTGAAGTACTCGGGTTGTGCTTCATTTGAAACACGAAAATAGTCAGTATCTGTCCTCTTTCTAATTATATTTGTGTGAGCGAAATTTTGTCTGTTAAATTTTGGCCTTGTGCTAGTGTACATCTGGCCATCTAAGTTGCTTGGTGCTGTTGGCACCCAGAGAACGGCCCCTGCTGAGCCAGCTTGGCTCCTGAGACCAGCCAACTAGAGATCACAAAAATATTGATACTATATACAATGAAATATCCTTATAACAAAGGCGTTATTAGCCTGTTTTTAGTGGTTGTATTTCTTCTACAGTTACGTTGCACACCCCAAAGCATTTTCTCCTGCTGATAAATGTAGCATAATAGACTTTTTGTGTTACATTCCTCAATGGTGCAGTCAGCAGTAGAAATCGTGTTAGGATTTGGAATCTCTTCTTGCTTCCTTTTATGCATTTTATTGTTTCTTCTTTATAAATCTCACCAGGAAGTTTTTCGATTGAGCCGAGTGAGTGAATTCCATCGTTTCCTCACTTGCACCATTTCTTTTTTCCTAAGATGCTTGTTGATAGTACGGATACTACAAAATGTTCTGAACCTGTCAGCAGTTTTAGTGGTAGTATGCCTTATATGTCTGTTAATAGATGCGTTAGGGATTTCTCTGCCTCTTCATCTTCTTCATAAAATCTGCATGTACCGTGTTGGTTAATACAAATCTTTCTCAAGTACCTATTCAGTCCACAGTGCCTCACTTCCACCACGTCTTCTTGCCTAAGATGCTCATTGATAGTGTGGATCCCTGTACCACAAAATGGTTCAGGACCTATCAGCCGTGCAGCAGCCCATTTTCTTACAAGGGCATCCACTGTCTCGTTCTTCTCTACTCTTGCGTATCCTAGGACCTAGTAGAGTGTAACCTTGTAATAGTGCTTTGCCAACATAATCTGTTGAGTTTAGTTTTGCAATTCAGCACTATTTTTTAACAAGGGTATTTTGACTATAAGGTTATATGAACCCTCAGGCTGCCATTGTTTTTGAAAATAAGCCCATTTGTAAGTATGTCGGGTTCGAATGCAGGGGCACAGGACTCAAACCCGGAACCTTTACTTTACAATGATGAGCGCCGTATCAACGCCTAAACCGTTGTAGTCACCGATGCCCCTAGCACCATGTTTGAGCTAATAATGTTTGACTTAGTGCTTTGATGGCTGCCTGGCTATCCAACATTTTCGCTATGTGCTTGTTTTTGTATCCCCTAGTCAAATTGAATTAAATACATCTACCAATTGTGTGGATTTTATGTTTGTATTACTGTTACCACTATGGGCTCTAATTATTTGATTTTGGTGTTTGTTTCCTTTTTCCCACTCCTTTTTTATACTTTGGATTTTCAATTCAATTCAAATATCTTGTTCAAGTCGCCTCCTATGAGACCTAAGTGTCGGATATTCTTTTATTGGGAACTTCTTGTCTCTAAATTGAATTTTTAATCCTGTTGGAAATTCTTCTTTGTTGGTGTTAATAATAGTTTTCTTTGCTGTCCTTGTTATCATTGGTGGAGGTGGATTAATTGTAATGTTTTCTCCATACCTCTGAGGGACATGCTCTCATTGCTCTGGTGCTACAAATGCATGTGAATCTCTGTATTTTTGTGAGCTCTTGTATGGCTTTATCGGCATTGTATGTGAGAAACCCATCCAGGATTTGTGATCTATATCCCCAGTTTTTACCTCCTATTCGCACACTATTTGGAAGGATTTCCCCCTTGAGCATCTATTGTATCTGATCTCTACTAATTGTTTTGCTGGAACATTTTCGTTTCTTTAATGAAGCACAGAATTCTCAGGGGTATGGTATCAAGGTATTTGCTCAAATCTTTCCTAGGTCTCATAGCTAACCTGGGACCTACCTTAGTGTAAGGTTGTAGATCAGTTTGCTAGGGTATTCAGGTAGTTCCAGGCTAGTTTTGTTTTAATCTCATAGGCTTGGAGAGTCTTGAGAGCTGCTTTGCTATCAGATAATATTATTGTTGCACCCTTGAGATTTTTTGTTTTATTCCTTGCCTATGTGTTTCTATGGCCAGCAATTATTCTTGAAAGAAATGGCATAGGTACAATATGTTATACAATTTGGCATCTTTCAATGATACAGAAAGAAGCAAAACTCTTAAACAATTTCCAGTGATTTAGGGTATTCTTCAAGGTAAAATCTTGACTTTCCTGCTGTTTTCTTTATGTAAAGCAATATAGGAGTGGCCGAGTGGTTAGGGTGTCCTACTCATATTTGCAATTCTAGCGGTTCTGGCTTCGAATCCTGGCAGACCCCATGGTTGTTTAATTGATAATGTTATAAAAAATGTATTTTAAAGTGGTTTGAACCCACGCCCATTGGGTAATTGGACATTAAGCCCTTTAGATAGACTTTACTCATCTTGAAAGATGATTTTGGTGAGGCTGGGTCACTCCGTGCACATGAGAGAAAGTGTTAAATTTGGTTGTTTTGTTGAAATATAATGACCTCTTGAGCAGGCAAGCGGTCGAGACTTTCATATGTGCCGGGAAATATTCTCTATTACTCTACATGTTCAGTGTTGTGCTGGCGTTATCTACTTGATCTAAGTGCAAACATTCTCTGTCCAAAATAAGAATCTCAATGTTATCATAGTCGCGACAACTAGTTGAAAGTAATATAAGTGTTTCCATTGTTTTCTATTTAGCATTTATCTTCAGACAGTTAATCGGAATTGGTTCTTTTCCTAAGAATTGTCTCATTCAATATAAATTTCTTCTAAAAGATAAAATTTTGTAATTCTGCTGAATTATTCGTAAACATGATTCATACTACTGCATTCCAATTAAGGCATTGATTAACATCTCGTTTGGTTATGGTTATTCATTAACATATTAATTTTTATAACTGTTATTCATGCACACATTCAGGTCTGGTTTTGCAAAACAGCCTTATAGGGTGTCTGGTATTTGTTTTTAGAGGACACTGCACAGTTGCTGCAGATTACTTGGTTATTATTATTTTTTAAAATTTTATTTGTGTGTTAACAATTGCGTTCTGGTGGTTTAACCTAAAAGATTAACTAACTCTAATATATACAATATTTTGTTCAGTTTCAGGTTCTTTTTAAAAATTTCAAATGATGAATTCTTGGATTAATGGTAGCTTACAAGCCAAAGGGAATGGGATGAAGGTAAAATTCAGTTTTTGATGTTAATAAAAATTTCATTTGTATAATGAATTAAAAAAACTCATTTGAACAAAATTTGTTTTAGGTGAAAACATTTTGAAAGAGAGAGTGAGCTATAAAATTAATTTGAATTTACTATTTAGGTAAGTATTTTGAGTACTGTTTTATTTTGTTATATTTGATTTATGATTTGTTAGATTGTTAAACCAAAACCTGCATTTTAATATGTTTATTTTTGATTTTGAAACCTGGAAATAGTTTGTAGTTTTATTTAATTTAATTTATTTTTTTAACAATTGAAGGTTGAACTCTAGTTTAGAATCGCATGTTCTGTACCTGTTGTTTCAGTGACTTCAAATGTTTAGGTGAATTTTAGGCTGGTTGGTGCCTTTTTTTTTCTTTTTTTTGTTGTATGAAAGTTGAATTCCATTATTTCCAGAGAATGAGAGATATACCATTTTAAAAGGGATATATGGTAATTCCATACAATACTTGTTGGTGCCTTTTAACAATGAGCTTAAAGAAAATTAAAAGACGTTTGTCTCAAACCTTTCGTTTAAGCTATGAAGGGTCCCTAGCCGATTTAGCTGAGCAACTGAACATAGGAGAGAACTCTTCAGAAAATGTGAAATCAAAACGTATGTTGGAAAATTAATTTCATAGCATGCTAATTAGACCTAAGTACATGTTTGCATTTTTGTTTCCATACTGTTAAGTTCAACCATGTCCTTATGTAAATTCTTTGTATTTATTTATTATTATTATTATTATTATTTGGAATGTGTGTTTAAACAATAACCTGCTGAAGATTAAAAATTTATTATTCACATTTGATATGTTATTATATTTATGTGTTTTATTTGTTTGATTTTCTTTTAGGAAAGCCCCCTTTAGATAGAAAACTCTCTTTATCACATTCCAGAATTTTGTTGGACCACCATAATGCATTTCGTAAGTAAATTACTATTTCTATTTCTAGTTTTAAATTTTATTTTCTCCTAGCAATTTAAGAAAACAAATTAAATTCAATGTAATAAATTGCTCAGGATGTATGAACTACACAAGCAAACATTGACAACCAATGAATGAAAAAGAATAGCGTGAAATCAATAGGACATTCTCACTCACTCTTGAATACATTCTTTCTTATTTACATGCCATTCACTCAGTTAAGGTAGTGGAGCATTCAATAAATACTCCTCCATCACTCTTTACACCATAATAAGTAGCCTAATTGGTCGATGGGTACTTAATATTCACCATTGACACATTCATGCTAATAATTACATTCACTTTCATATCAGTACTATATATAGTAAAATGATCAGGTTTCCTCCAAGAATAGAAACAGGGAGAGAAAACTCCAATAGAATTCTCTTGAAATCCAATTCTCTTAAATAATGAGGCCCTCATTTGCACATTTCTGGGTGCATTTTTTTTTGCTTTTCCTAAAAAATAATTAATTTTCTTGAAGTAGTTGGGTTGTGGAAGGAAGTAGGGGCTTCATTTGAAACACGAAAATAGTTGGTATGTGTCCTCTTTCTAATTATATGATTTTTTTCCAAGACTGAAGTTTTATTCTGTTCTATTTTCTTTTGAAATAAATATGATGTAATATTATACCAAAAAAAATTTCTGTGTTAAACAGAAATTATTCAATTATTAGTCGGGTGATGTCGCTGACATTCATCCTCTGTTTTAATATTTTTAGAAGAAATTAATTATATGATTATTTTAGGGGTTTTTCAATGCATATAATAATGCATATATGAGGGGTTTTAGTGCCTATTGTATGCATATTTGAGGGTTTTTTTTATTATACATTTAATATCGCATATTTGAGGGTTTTTTATACATATAATATTGCATATTTGAGGTTTTTTAGTGCATATAATTTGCATATTTGAGGGGTTTTTTAGTGCATATAATGTTGCATAATCGAGGGGTTTTGAGTGCATATTATATGGCATATTTGAGGGTTTTTAGTGCATATAATGTTGCATAATCGAGGGGTTTTGAGTGCGTATTATATGGCATATTTGAGGAGTTTTTAGTGCATATAATATTGCGTATTTGAGTTTTTTTTAGTGTATATTATATGGCATATTTGAGGGGTTTTTAGTGCATATAATGTTGCATAATCGAGGGGTTTTGAGTGCATATAATATTGCATATTTGTGGGTTTTTTAGTGCATATAATGTTGCATAATCGAGGGGTTTTGAGTGCATATTATATGGCATATTTGAGGGGGTTTTTAGTGCATATAATATTGCGTATTTGAGTTTTTTTAGTGTATATTATATGGCATATTTAAAGGTTTTTCAATGCATATTATATGCCATACTTGAGGATTTATTGCACATAAATCTGGTTTATAAGAATGTCATTTGAATTCCACATGAACAAGTGATTTCAATTATTATGAGGTAGTCTATGTTTGTTGTCTTTATATCCAGCCTCATTACAACCTTAAGTACTGTGTTAATTTATCAAACAATAAGCCAAATTTATTTGAAAAATATATTTAATTTAAGAATTTATTGTACACATTTGTTTATTTTAACTTGTTTTATTTATTGACTTTATACAAGTATCATTATCAATAATAAAATGGGTGTGCTGGTGGCTGCAACGGCTAAGGCATTGACATGGTGTTCATCACTGTAAGATAAAGGTCCAGGGTTCGAATCCATAGCCACACTTACAAATTTTTTTTTACAAAAACACTGCCACCTCGAAGGTTGATATGACCTCTGTTTTTGCAAACTCTCATAATAAATAAATAAATAAAATATAAAAGCTGCCAGAAAAATAATCAATTTTAGTTTGTTCACAAAACTGACACAAACGAAACTATATTATTGATACGTTCAACATCATTTATATTTAGTAAACCCTCTAATTTATTAATTATTTCCACTTTTAATAAATATTTAATGATGTATACATTTCTGTAAGCAAAGTATTAAGAAAAGTGTCAATCTGTCCACTCCAGTACAATTACATTATTTTTAGTACATTTTATTATTAGTATTACTATTAAATTTTACATGTATCATTTGTATTAAATTTGGAAATCCAGCCATTTGTACAGTTTAACTTTTAAAGGGTTACTAGAGACTTACAAGACCTTAATAATACAGCACTGGCCATTACATTCTTTTTAGTGTGTTACTTGCTTTTCAAAATTTACCAGATGAAACAGCTACTCCGAAATAATCAAAACAATACAGGTCTGTGTAATGAAAGAACCATGTGTTATATTTTTAATTCTTCCCTTCATGAAAGATTACTGCTTCAGTTTTCTTTATATTAACCTCAAATAGGTTTCATTATAGTGATCCTTCAAAATTATATTATATAGTAGCATATACATCCTGTTTTTCAGTTACATGCTCCATACTGAATGCTTCCATACTTTCCATGAGCTTTATTTTTTAAGAGAAGTACTCTCACATGTCAGTTTTATACAAAGAAAACAGCAGGGGACTCATGGTTTCACCATGAAGAATGCTAGCCCCCTCGGCCACCTGGATTCCGCCAATCTTGTAAACCTTGTATGGAGTCTAGATTCTATATTCTTTCATTGCTTATACTGCATAAAAGTCTTGAGTAAAAAATTAACTACATTCCCACGTATAGAGGCAGAAGAATCAATAAAAATTGTACATACAAAAGAAAAACATGTACTTACAAAAAGAAAAAAAAAGAAAACTCTTAGGACAAAATAAAATAAAACCCAACTTTAAAAAAAGCCATAGTAAATTCTTAAAAAAGTTAAAAAATAAATTAGTCGGGACAAAAATGTTTGGGAAATAAAATTAAAAGAAAATTTTGATACACCCTTCCAAATAAAAATAACAGGAGTGTAAGTAAGGCCTATTATTTTCCTTATTGCCTACTTAGAAGGTAGATTTTTGTTTGACTGGTTGTGATGTCGAGGAACCTTTTTGATTATTTTGCACCTGGTGAATTTATCTTCAGAAAGTCATCTCTTTCTCCATCCATTTGCTCAGTAGTTTCTGCAAAAAACTTTGATATGGTTTCTGCAATGCTTTCAGGACTCTTTCCTGTGCTATTTATTTTTATTTGGGGGAATTTATTTTTAATCCAGTGTCTGATAGATCCACGTTTTTGGCAGTTTGGTCATCAAACTTTCCTTGACCAATTTATCAGACTTTTCGTTGCCCCTATGCCCTATTTGACCTGGTGACGAAGAATTTGGAATTTGGAATTACCAAGACGAGGGTAATTTTGTTGATTTCCTCAATGACAAGGCCCTAATTCAATCCCAATTGACTGGACTTTATCACTGATGCGGTAATTGCCGTCAGTCCCACCTGGCTCTCTGAGTAGATGGCTATTCTTCTGTTAATTACACCTAGCTTTTTAATCTCCTTGGTGTTCAATAGCCACAGTTTCCAGGAATTATATAAAGATATGTAGTAGCGGTAGATTAAGAAGGACTTCGTGAGTGGGAGTCATTCTCATTGTCCCAGTGTGCCCTGAGGATTTGGACCACCCTTAGCTGTAATGTTTTTGTCGAAACCACCGATCCGTAGACTATCATTAGTCAACAATCGCTGTGTATAATCATTGGGCCATCTTTGAGTTTAATCCCCAACTTTTCCCACAAAGGTGTTTACAACTACCAATGGCCATTTTCACTCTCTGTGTGATTTTACTTAGTTTCCACAAAAGTCTTTGGTCATATATGCCTTCTAGATATTTTAACTCTTTAGAGGAAGGAATTAAAACTACATTTATCGGAAGGGGCTTAAGTCCTTCTAGTGCCGTTTTCTTGGTAAAGGGAACCTGGATGGTTTTCTTAGGGTTAATTGACAACCCTTCTCTTTTACACCATCTATTTGTTATTTTAGTGCATATTGTGCCCTTTCTGTAACGACTTCGACAATAGTCCATTCACGACTACCATTATATCACGTGCCTATCCTAGCAATTAAATCTTCGTCAGATAGCGTTTCCAGGAGATTACCAATCAATATTGAGTGGCATAATGCCCAAGGCATATATTAATTCCAGTCCCTTGTTGATTCCTGTAAGTACCAGCTCCTACCCATTGGTTTTGGAGCTATCTGTATACCAGATATGGTCAGCATTCAATGGGATCCCCTTTTCCCAGTCTGCTTTACTGGATATTTTAATTTGATTTTTTTTTGTCAAATATGAATTAAGGGTTAGCATCAACAGACATGCTCCAATCCTTGTTTGCCTGAAGTTCCTCGCGAACTTATTCCCTGAATTAGCTTACTAATTGTGGCCCTGCCTCCCTGGATAAAGATACGTAGTGGTGGTAGATGTAGATGTAATGTTCAGAGTGTGTAACGTACTGCGCCTTTTAAGAGCTATTGTATCCCCAGTTCTGTACTTATAGCACACCTGTGAGTCTTGCTTCAAATAAGTCTATTAGTAAGCCTGGTTTTAGTGGTTGAATTTCTTCGACAATTATGTTGTACATTCCAAAGCACTTCCTCCTGTGGGCAAATGTGGCACCACAGTTTGTTAATAGGCGTGTCGGTATCTCCTCGGCTTCTTTACAGAATCTGTGCTATGTTGTGTTACACCAGTCTTCTTCAGATGCCCATTCAGTCTGCAGTGCCATGTATCCTGTTAGGATTTAAAGTTTTATCGTGCTACCTCTGATGCATTCTGTTGTTTCTTTCCTTCCAAAATTTGCTGGGTTCTTGGTCCAATGAGTGAATCCCACGGTTTCTCCTATGCCACAGAAAGGCTCAGAACTTATCAGCGGTATTGCTCTCTAGAGAAAGGAATTACAACAAAATTTAGAACCAGGGGCTTAAGTCATCCTAGTTTCCTATTAGGAGGTATTTTTAGGGACTGTTGTTTATTAGACGCTACATATTTGTATAAAACGGTTTCGTTGATGATTCTAACTTTTGATTCAATTCTACAAGTGTTTCGTCATCGC